TAGAACGGTGTCCTTGCTGGGGACTGCCACTTCTGTCAGAATGAGGCACCTGCCCAACCACAGCAAGCATTCCTGCCAGCCTTAGACTATTCATGGTCTGCAGAAAAGTGACCACTTTCTCTTTTTTAATAGCATATGTTTGTATGTGAATTAGTTCTCTATGTTCATTTTATAGTATCTGGGTGAAACAGAAAATGGAAATGAAAATCAAAAGCGTACATGTTCAGTAATGACAAGTGTATTCATATTTGTTTTACGATGTTATATGTGTATATGTATATATGTATGTACATAAGGATGTGGATAAATTATATATGTATGTATATGAATATGTATATATTATATATATACATCCTTCATAAAACTTAAAATATTGCATACATTTATAAATTGTTCTTTTCATTTTATTATATGCTATGAAAATGTTATTAAGTAAAGTCTGTAATCAGATATTTAGTTGCTTCATTTCAGCATTTACTTACTTAACCTCTCTTGCTGGACATTTGGATTCTTCCTAGTTCTGCATCCTGTTGAATGTATCACAGGTACATTTTGATCCCCATTCCTGGTTATTTTCTTATATACTACTAACAGTAAAATCACCCGTTGGGTGAATATGCACATTTAAAATTTTACAGAAATGCTGCCTAGTTATTTTTTGGAAGAGACATACCCACTTACACTTCTACTTTATTGCAGAGACAAGTCTGTCAGTGAAGTCCCACTTCTTTGTACCTTCTTTCTAAAAGAGCTTCCAAAAACTGTAAACCACTTTGCATACTGGGTGTTCTACTTTAAATACACACCACTAGTTCTTTGAAAAATCAGTTGAAAACTGAAAAATTTTCAACGTACCATAAGGAATTTTGAATGAATGCTTTTGACCGTAGACCTCAGCATTTACCTCAACAAGAGATCAATCTAGCACGAGAAGAGCTTGTTCAGAATATTTACTATCCCTCTTTTTAAGCCTTTCCCCTCAAGCTCTAAGATTAGTCTGGCTCAAGAACAGGTGTTTCCACATAGGTCTTGAGCAAACACTTGCACTGTAATTGCATTGAAAGCCAACAGTAACAAATGGAGTCTCTAAAGATCATATGAAGTTTCCAGGAGGACACAAACTAGGGATGTGGGGTGGACTCCTCTTTAACCTAATTTTTGATCTGAAAACACTTAAAGAAAAGCAAGCTACAGAGTTGTGCTTTGTGAAAAGGGAGACAAACACTGTCTACATGATACAAGGGGCAAGGATTTCTCTCAAACTATGAGTCCAAAGACTGCTTTGGAGCCACTGCAGAAAGATAACTAATTTTGAAAACTAAAACTCTTTTTCTGACTCACAGTAATAGATTAAAAAGTTCCAATCTTTGATGACATAATGAGATTTCCTGGCTTATGGTGGAAGTTATAGCAGGAAATATCATTACTAATGCCTGGACCAGCTGCAGAGGTCATGGGGTTACTCTTTTGGCCCTAGTGTGCCCATTTCATGACCATTTTACTTGCTTTGGAAACTCAGACTGTCACCCCAGCAGGTCTTCCAAAGCCTAGGTGCTGGATCAGCACAATGCAGTGCCTCGTGAGAAACTGCTAGTGTCTTGGCCTATCTCACATTAGGACTATCGCCATCTCCTGGGTGGCAATGTCTTGACAGGCATCTCCTGTTTTGTAGAAAGATGCTAACCTCTGTCATGATTAACGTTGTATCAACCTGAGACACAGGCTGTCCAGCTAAAGCATCGTTTCTGAGTGTGTCTGTTAGGATGCTGCTGGATGAAATCAATATTTGGACCAGGGGACCCAGCGACAGAGGCTGCCTTCCCCAAAGTGGGGGTGGGGGGCTTATCCCATCTTTCCAGGATATGACTAGAACAATAAAAGGGCAAGGAAGGGAAAAATTTTCCCCTTTGCATCCTGTCCACCTATTTGAACTGACCCACTGGTCTTCTCCCCTTGAACGGGAGTTTACACATCAGCCCCTCTAAATTTGTAGTGAAAGTGCATCCCCAGTTTTCTGGGGTCTTGGGCTTACAGACAACAGCTTCTAAGACTTCTCAACCTCCATAACCCTGGAAGCCAGTTCTTCATAAAAATCTCTTTTCGTGTGTGCACTCATGGCGGGGGGTGGGGACGGGAAGGGTGTGCTATTGGTTCTGTTTCCCTGAAGAACCCTATGACTAATACAATCTATTTCCAACCATACTGTAGTGTATAAGCCTGGACTTAGCTAACCACGCAAGCATTTTCCAGTGAATACGGTAAAAATATTCTCCTCAATATTCCCTGAAATACAGATGAGGGAGACAATACTTTGGGAGATTTCCTTGGAGAAATAGTTATCAAGTATATTCACTCACTAGCTATGCTTAAAGCATCCCAGGATGGAGATAGATTAGCAGAAAACTGGGGACCTCTGGCATAGCTGTCCCCATCGGCCCCCTTGCCTCCCCTCCCTTGCCCAGATTGCTTTCACACAGAACATCATTATGTGGAACAGGGCTATGAAACCCACTTGTGTGCCCTCAGTAAGACTGTGGTGAGGACGCCGTTCATTACATCACACAGTGTTTTCTTTATGAGGACTCCGGGGAACAATTCCTGTCTGCCCTCTGTGTGAACAACAGTTAGAATTTTCCAGAGCAATTGGTTTGTGTTTATCTCGCAGACATCATGAACTGTATATCTGACAAGTTTTCTTTATTCCATCGCTGGCTATGCTGCTGTGGGCTCTGCTTGTGAGCCACTCATCAACAGGAGGTGTGCAGAAATGCAGTTTTTGCATTTCTATCAGCCTCAGTGTCGCCTTCCCTACCATCCTGTCTTACCTCGCTTTTAATTTATGCTGTCTTGTCATGTTTTATATCTCACTGTAAGCCATCTGAAAAACGTTCTGTGAAATAAGATTTAGTTTACATTGAAAAGTAGATAAATAAATAATAAGATGTGGAAGAGCTGTACACTGTGTCTTTCTATCAATTTTCCTCAAAACTTCCATTATGTTCTGCTTTGACATCCTCGCTCTAACGGATCTAAGGTTTAGGGCATGCAACTCAAAACGTTAGCAATAACAATCATAAAATAATTGAAAAACACAAATAAAGTCACTCAAAATGTTGCGAATGTCCCAGTTCATTCCCATGACCTCACTGAGGCAACGCCATTGCAACAGCAAAGCTTCTTGGGTCCAAGCTGTACTTCAATGCTAATTGTAATGGAAAGAGTAAATAACACTACCTGATACCAGAGCAGCTTAGAAGGAGGAGCAGACTGCACTCTTTGCTGTGGTGTGGTTCTGTTTGCTGCTCTGCAAACTAGCAAGAAAGAGCTATTAGTCCCTAGATGGGCTTTTTCTCCCCCAGGAAGCTTCTAACTGCAGGAAATGGGCTCAAATTTAAGAAGAGAGGCAACAGTGTGAACTCGCATCAAGGAGTCCATAGAGCTATTTGGGAAAATGAGCACATGAAAACACATTCACCATCTTTAGTCATCAGGGAAATGAAATTTAAAACCACGGAGAGCTACACTCACCTATTCAAATGGCTAAAACTGAAAAGATTGGCCATAGTGAGTGCTGGTGATGCTGCACAGCGAATGGAACTTCTCTAGACTGCTGGTGGGAATGTAAAACAGTTCAACTATTTTCAAAAATAGCTTGTCATTCTTTAAAAACTGAAACATCATCTACCTGGGGACCCAGCCATTCCATTTCTAGATGTTTACACAAGAGAAATGAAAGACTATGTCCACACAAAGATTTGCACATGAAAGTCCACAGCAATTTCTGTGTAATAGCCCCAAACTGCAAAAAATCCAACAGGTGTCTACGAGGAGATGAATTAATAATAAACTGTGGAATAAACACAATGCACTATTTCTCAAGGTTAACTAACTAAATAAAGTATAATCAACATATATAAATCTCAGAATGTGTACTGTGGAGGGAGAATATATATTGCATATATTATATAAAATTCTAGGTCATGTAAACATATAGAATCAAGAAGCAGCAGTGGTTGCCTATTATACACTGGAGTGGAGAGAGCAAAAGGGAGAATTAAAATGGGAGAAAGAAATTTGAATTATACCTCGATAAAGCTGCTTCGGAAAAATTATTATTTTGGTAGTACTGGGAATTGAACCCAGGGTCTGTATTGTCTTTTTTTTTTTAAATCTTGAGACAGAGTCTCATTAAGTTGTTAGCTTGCTAAGGCTAGACAAGAACCTGCGACCCTCCTGTCTCAGCCTCCCAGCACAATGGAATTAGCCACAGTCACATACAGCTCATGGCTACTGTTTTAAATTTTATGTTGCCCCAGGATTTGGTTTTTGTGTTTGTATTGCCAAGATATGCTAGTGGTACTACAGTGCATGTTCTAGTCCTGTGTTCTACACCGCACCTTTACCTCCTACCCAAAGAGATGCTTTTTCATCTTGCTAATGAACTAGCATCAATGAATACAAATAATAGAAAAAGAAATTCAAACTTAAAATACCTTCCTGATGGACATCACTGATGGATTCATTTAACCAGAGAACAGACAGATTATTTGTTTCGGTGATGTATTCTGGAAGAAGAGTAACTGATTGCCAAGATGCACTGGTGAATCACTGTGTATATATAAGGACTATATAAATAATATCCATATTTTGGAATGTCACATATTCAGAATCTAAAATGCTCACTTTTCCTTATACCTGGTAATCTGGGCTTAAAAGACAAACTTTGTAAGAGTACAGTTAGGGTGAGTGAGTCATAACTTTTAGATCTGGGCTTTTTTGGTTTATCATCAGTTTGTCCATCTATAAAATGGGTGCACTGATGCCAATCTAAAAGAATTGTACGGAAGATTTAACAAGATCATCAATGGAAAGCAGTACCTAAGGAGCAGAGGTACTTTAAAATATCCTCTCTTGTACCACCAAACCCTTCATCATATCAGATAACTTCTTCCTTTACATCAGGAAGAACCAGTAGGAGTAGACACTTCCTCCATTCTTACCTGGAGCCAAAGTTTGTCATGCTGAGACCACTTCCCACCAGCGATGCACTGAAAGGTAGCATTCTGCCCCACGTTCACCTCGACGTTTTGGAGTCGCAGGAAATGAGGTGCTTTTCCTAAGACAGAAACCAAAGAACACATGAGGATTCGACAGCTCGCATCCCTCCCCTGTCACGGATGGCAGCTGAGGCTGGGCACTGGGCAGCATGGAAAGTGTGGCCGGACAGAGGCCTGGCTCCGTGCACTGCTGATGGGTCACATGCAGGCAGGCACCGAACTCTGCACTCTACATACATCACCTCACCAAGACTCACAGGGCCCCATTTCACAGGACGGAAAACTAAAGCTCTGAGGGCTTCTACAGCTTCACAGTCACACAGCCAGAATGGAGGCACAAATCCCACTCACACAGACCCTCGAAGTCCTGGGTACCAGCTACTGTACGATACTATTCTATTAAACTCACACATGCACCCTAAAACCCATCCAAATTGATTGTTGTCCTGGAGGCTGGCACCAGATGAAAGATGGAACCAGAGAGCTCAGAGTTAGGAAGACAAAATATTGGAGTGCGGTGGGAGGAAGATCTTCACCATTTAAGGGTCTTTCATGCTCCCTGAGAGGACAGAAATACTAAAGCTCAAGGAAAGCACTTTTGGCTTGAGGGTCTGCACGTGACCTCAGTGATGCTGCTGCTAATGAAGATGAGGAGAATGAAACGTGGAGGATAGGAGAAAGGAAGAGAACACGTGTAGCCATCAGTCACTGGGTGCTGCCATGGGACAGGTGCCACTTGCAGTGTTTGTGTACAGTAATTCATTTAACTCAACGCTGCTGATGGTGGTACTACTCTATTGTATGCGAGGGGACTGAGATACAGAGAAATCCAAAAACTTCCCCAAGGTCACAAGAGCCCACAGTTCAAGTTCTTGTGACCTTTCCCAAGGTCACAAGAGCCTCTGTTACCTCTAAGCAATGGCACTTTCTGAGCAGGAGTGGATGCTGTGGACTGCCATGGCAGCAGAAAGGGCTTTCAAATGAAAATCAATGTCTCTAGGCAATCAGCCCTAGATTTAAGCATGTTTTATATTGGGTAATTTGGATTCACCTTTTTCCTTGTTTGCTCTCCAAATTCCACCAGTGTTAGTTCTGCATCAGCTGACCACCTGTGACCAGGAGAATGAGTTTCCTCATTGAGCACAGTAAAAGATCCCTACCACTAACAACAAAGCCACTGATGAACATGGCCTAAATCACCCCAGAATGGGACCCAGTGGAGAGTTCTGAGATGACCAAAGAGGAGCTAAATACACAGAGAAATAAATAGTAACAATAATGTCATTAACTGAAAACTCCTCCAGTGCCGAGCACTGTGATAAACACTCTGCATGTTTTATCTAATTCAACCTTATCACACCGTTGTGAAGCAGATACCGTTGTCACTTCCCTGCTAGAGAGCTGGAAGCCAACATTCAAAGGAATTTAATAGTCCAGAAGCTACACAGCATCAGTGAAAGACAGAAACAGAACTCATTTTAGTGCTATCTGAGTACTGGCGATTAAGACAGGGCCACTGGCCAGAATCTGGCTCCCAGGCAAGGTTACACTGACTCTCCAGGATCCTCTCTTTGCTCCTAAATGTTTTCGAGTGACCCCTTCCTTGTTTGCTTTCTTGCTTTGAACGAAATTTGTCTACCAAACTATGTCACCACCTGTGAAGCTCCGCAAAAGCCCAGGACCTCAGTGTGCCCAGGCACACTTGCTGGGAAAAAATAGACACCTTCTGCTCAGGTTTTTACACTAATGACAACAGCTCAGAGACCCCTACATGCTCCCTTCAGGACCCTGTGGCTAGAGTGGCTTCCAGAGTCCAAGGCCCAGCGAAGACCACTCCTAGAAGATTTCTCAGAGTTTAAGATTCCTGCATCTAGTCAAGCTGACAAATGTCATGCTGCTTTGATTGCCTGAAATTGTTTTCTTTGGGCTCTCCTGTATAATTTTATAAAGTTATTTTTGTAACTATCAGTTCAAGTCAATGCTTCAGGAAGGAACAGAGTGAACCTTGTAAATCAAAGCACGCCACAGGTTTGGAGGGGGGCATCCACCCCACGGCAGAAGGGTGTATAGAATAGTGGCTCTGGGCTGGGAATCTGTGCGTGAGGTTTTACAAAGAGGTGCTTTTCCCTTACTTTTGGGACACTGAGCAAACAATGAGACTCTGTGACATATGCGATTAGAGATAGATCTGCAGATCAGTGACCCCTGCTTGTTCCTGACTCCTCCCCACTTCTCCTCCCAGCACAGACCCTTTGTCTTGATTCTTTCCTCTCCAATCCCCTCCTCTCTCCCTTCTTAATTCAGAATTCTGATGTTTAATAGCCCCTGGTGTTACTATTCTGGGGAATCACTGGTGATGTACAGCAGAGATGTCAAACCTGTGCACCTACAAGAGCTAGACAGTTATATAAATTAATAAAGTGGCTCTGTTGTAAATCAAAATAAAAGCCACACCTCCTTGCCCCATCTTTGATTTACCCACTTTTGACAGAGAAGTGAGTAAAATAGACACTTCCCTATGTAAGAAAAAACAGTGTGGCAAACACGGTTGTATCTGGGATCTGACACCACCCCAACACTGGGAAAGCAACAAAGAGTAGTGGGGGTTTGAGAGAGCTGCAGAGGCCTGGTGTCCCCCCAAAAGGGGGGTAGCTGCTACTTAAAACCAGCAGAGGGACAGAAGAAAGGTAAGAGTGCTTTCCCCAGAGAACTTCAGATATGTGAAATCTCTCAATCTAAAATCATGACTGAATTTTTTTTAAATGCCATGCAAATTTCACAAAATACATCAGCAGGCGGGCTCCATTGGTTTGTGGTTTCTGATGTATTGCTTTTGTATTAGTCACCTGTAATGATTTCTGTTGGCCACTGTTGCTTTGTCTGGTCTCATTACTGCAGTGACATCCTATCCCTCCATGCACCACACTGTAGGGATCCAGGGAAGGGGAGCCTTAAATCCCAGGAAATGGTCTCAACCAGCCTCTCCTCACTCACCACTCTCCTCATGGGTCTTCACTCTTCTCTGTGCAATTTGAGGCCCAGTCGCATCCCTGGCTCATGACAGATATGTGTCTCTGGGATCCTCCTCATGCAGACCTCTGTGGCCCTCTTTGAGCTCTTTATCTATTTTTCCCCCTTTCTCTTCACCCTCACTCTGTTCTCCTCTCCATTTTCTCCCCCCATCCCTCTTCAGCCATGGGAGAGGAATTACTCCACCAGCTCCACATCATCAGCCTTTAGCCAAACACAGCTGACCTCCGTACCCAGGCCAGGCACCAACTGCAGTTTTAAACATCCCCTTGCTCCCCCTCTGAAACTCAGCTCCACAGAATAGGGTTAAGAGAACACTGGCTGTGCATTTGGGCCAAAATGCTGGTGACATTTAAACTCCTGCAGATGTCAGTGCAGCATCTGAAGACGTATTATTGTGCCCTTTATCTCGCTCTTTAAACCTGACAGAGCTCAGTAGGAAGCCACACAATTGAAGATAAAGCTCGGTACATACAGAAGAAACATGTTGCAGACGCTCTGTGGGCTCAGGGACATGGCCTGCAAGGTTGTGACGGGAAAAAAATAGATTTAAAGAATTCCAAAAGTCAACTTAGGAGTTAGAAACTTTGAAACCAAGTGGAAAATTGTGCTGACATTTATCGTACACAGTTATAACTGCTGAGGCCTTGCTAGTGGCGAACACTGAGAAATGGCGGCAATGGTAAGTATTGGCTAAAATACTTTTGGAATAACAAAAAAATGTTAAATGGGCTATAAAATACAGGCGAGAGATTTTGGGGCAGTAACAGAAAATAATTACTGCTAAGCCTTCCATCGCACTGTCCGTCACTGCTTTGGGAGCTTTCAAGCAAGCATTGAAAGTCGCAATTTCGGCTCTAATCCAGACATACTGCAATTTGCAAATCAGACATTCATCCCCCCCCCCCTCAAACTTCTGGAATAATTAGCTTCACTTCTTGATAAACTCTTGTCATGTGTTCATGGAAAGCATGCTTTGAAAGACAGACTGGAGAATTAAAAACCAGAGGATTTAAAGGAAATGCATACTTTTCAAGATAGTTAAAATTTTAACGATTTATGAGTAACATCACAAATATATTAATGCTAAGTCTGATGGTTGTAGAAAATACTTTCACTGTAAATAAAAGGCAGGTCACAAGCAACTATGTTTGCATGACATTTAATCTCATGAGCAGCGCCTCCCAGGCCCATGGTCAGCACCCCAGGAGCCACCATACATGCTCAGCTCTCCCCAGACTTACACTGCTACCTTCTTTAAGTAGGAGGTCTGGAACCTGACTTCTTTCATGCTTTGGTCTCCCAGTCCAACTCATTAAGTAAGACAGTGCCTGTATAATCTGTACTCTAGCCACCACTCACTGTTTCTGTGTCTCTTCATAGCACAGCCTACCATCTGTTATGGGCTGAATTGTGTCCCCTGCCAAATTCCTATGTTAACACCCTGATCCCCAGTGCTTATAATGTGACTAATTTTGGAAAACAGGGCCTTAAACAAAGTAATTAAGTTCAAATGAGGCCACCGAGTGAACCCTAATCTAACCTGACTGTGGTTATCAGAAGAGGAAATTTGGACACACAGAGAAACACTCAGGAGCACACACAGAGGAAAGGCCATGTGGGGGCCCACTGAGAAGGTGAACATCTGCAAACCCAGGAGAAAGGACTCCCAAGAAACCCAATTGTCCATACCCTGACCTAGGACTTCTAGCCTCAAACTTTAAGAAAATACACTGCAGTTGTTTAAACCACCCAGATTATGGTATTTTATAATGGCAGTCCTAGCAAAATAATTCACCATCTGTTGTGTATCATATAATCACCTCATTACTTGTTTTGTTTTCATTCTCTTTCATCTCAATGGAAGCCTGTGAGAAAAGGGAACAAAAAGAGAACACACTCCCATGAACCTAGTGCCCGGAATTAACCACATGCTCATTAAACACTTGTTGGCTGATAAGTGGGTGATAATTCACCACTCTGGTCCACCATTTCTTACATAGTTCCAGAACTTTCTTCATCACAGTTCTCCTCCCCTTTGCTATGTTTCTTCAGTTCACTTCCCACAGAGCAGTTAAGTGATGTCATGCCTATCTCCAACATGATTTCTCTGCACTTAGATGAACATAGAAACTGTTCATGATGATGCTCAAGGTTGTGAGTGTTCGGGCCCCATGTTTACTTGGACCCCTTTCTGCTTGGTTCCATCTTCTCAGCACACAAGACACTGAACTACTCCCACCTCGGGTCCCCTGCACATCTATCTCCTCAGCCTGAAATCTTCCATCCCTAAACCATTGTACAAAAACCTCCTTGCTATGATTCCAATCTCAGCTCAAGGCCATTTCAAAAACGCCTCCCCAGACCACTCTACCTGAGGGGCCCAATCTTAGTCACTCGTATTTACTATATTCACAGCACTTGTCCTATTTTAAATTACTGAAATTATTAATATAAGTGACTCATTTAGTGCCTTTCTTCCTGCTACCATTTTGTGAAGTCAGCACCACGCGCACAAGGACCTATCTTTTCTGTCTTAAGTGAACACTTCCCAGAACAGTGCTTGAATGCATAGCACACATCCAATAATCAACTTATTGAAAGAAAAGATACAAAAACTCATGGGTTAGGCATGGCTTGAGCACTGGTCCTTGGGAAAGAGACTCTACTCAACTCCACATGATCCATGGGCTAATACACATCCAATAACCACATTTTCCACATATAATTAAGTGAGATTTTCCTAATTCTACCCTACACTGTGATTTCTAGGAAACTTGTTCTTAAGCCGCCAAGTAATTGAGGTTGAACTCAGCAAAGCACATTATGCAGGAATAAAGCCAGGGCCACGTCTTCCTGAGTTATATCCCATGGCCCATTTGCTGGGTAACTAGCTCTCAACAATTCTATAACCAAGCAATCCATACTCCTCAGCAGGAGGAGGATGAAACTGTCAGAAGAATCCTAAATTCACAGCAGCAACAATGAAAGGAAGAGTCCAAGAGGAGATATGAGATTCTGGAGGTGGAAAGGCATTCAAATGACATCCAGAGAACACTCTTTCATGGAGATTTATCAGAGAGAATGGAGGTTTTTGTTACTGTTGTTGTTCCTGTAGAGACGACTACAGAGAGTGCTACAAGGTAAAAATACAGCTTTTACCAGACTGGGAAAAGATATAGTAAAAAGGTTAGGTGTTATGGCAGAGGTAAAAATTCCCACTAGAACACAGAGTTCTGGGACCCAGGGAGAGAAATCTATGCTACGTTCTGCTAGGAAGAGCCAAACATCATATACTGGAAAGCCCAAGTCCAAGAATCTAGCACAAAGCTATGAAGAAGGAACTCAGGTACTTAGATGCTTCATCAGGATGAATGCATACCAGGCCCTGATGAAGAAGGAGGCTTGTCTTAGGGACACTGCCCCAAACTGGGGCCAGGCAGGGCTAAGGGTATGGTTAAAGGGACCACAAGTAGAATAGACATCTCCTGACAGTTGTCTTAACCAAAGAACATTCTTTAGCGGGCAGCTGCTGCTAACTCCCAGTCAACAGGTAGGGAGATGCTGTGTTTAATCCCAGTAACGAGAACTCATGACCATATACATTATGTAAATCCTGCATACCTGGAGGATTTACAGCATCCTATTCACATGAAGTCTAGTTCAGCAGTGCTATTTCACAAGCATGACTAAATGGATGAACCCATCCAAGAAAGTCTAAAAAAGGCTTAGGAAGTAACCCAGAGAATATGGACTTTATGCCGGAGTGCTGAAGAGGCTAGGGGACCTCAGCCTTCCTGAGAAACTGACTACTTTCTGGGGAGAAGAAACTATATAAACACTGTCTGAAAGTTGGAATTCATCTCCAATTCTTCCACAGAAGGTGCTCAAAGGCAATGAGTCACACTATGACATTCCAGCACCAGGAAGAGGGAGATGTGGTGTTTGAAATCCTGATAAATTCACTGCAGCAAAGTAGAAAAAGTCATTTCAATTAAAGCAACATGGATGTGGCTGAGATGAAAATATCTCCCATATGAAAGGTTGACAAGGCTCCTCAGGAAAACACATATGATGTCTCTCAAAGCAGAAGCAAGTCACACCATAGCCCACAGCACAAGAGCTATGGTTGGACCCTTCAAACCATGCAAGAATTTTATCCCTAAAGTCATTGGCATTAAGTGGGCGACCACCTATTCCAACTGTGATGTTTAGAGGTGGGGTTTCTGGAACACGTGTAGGTTTAAATAAGGTCATTAGGGTGAAGCATTTATGATTAAACCCTGATGTCTTCATAAGAAGAGGGACAGAGCTCACACAGAGACATCCACTCCCTGTCTCTTGCCATATGATGCTCAGCATTGCTCCAGGACTCTGCCAGCAAGGTCTTCAGCAGATCTGAGCCAATGCCACTGCCATGCCCTTGAACTCTAAAACTGTGAGCTAAATACACCAATTTTCTTTGCAAAATTACTCTGTCTCCAGTACCTCTTTATAGTAACAGAAAGCTGACTAACCTATGACTCATGATCATATCAGGAAAGTGGCGAGAGGTCTCCTAGGTTACTGGAACTAGGTGACTGCCTAAAAGTCGACAGGAATCTCCAAAATGCAGAGTGCTGACAAACTGGGGGGCCAGTATCACAGCTGCCTTAATCCCATGCATATTCCTTTGATTACAGTCCCTGGAACAAATGTCTCTGGAAATGATGTCATCACAATCACCTTCACTCACCACTTGCTACCTTTGATTCAGTGGGGAAAAGGAAACACATTCAAGTGTCTTCAACTAAATACTACAAAGAGGCAACTTCAAGGGGAAAATGGATGGATATGGAGGATGGTGTGCTTTTGAGTATTTTTGACACTGTACCATAAGTACTAACCACTAGCAGAAATCTCTCTCTCCGCCTACATGGAGCTGATGAGTATATTTTAAATTATTTTTAAAGAATTAATAGATTTAGCGTACTTTTTCTTGAGGAAGAACAGTGTGCTAATTTGCTCAGTGTTTTGGCGATGTTCCTTTTTTTTTTTAAAGACAATTGCACAAGATTCTATCCAAAGCCCTCTAATTCTTCCACTTCAGTGGTCTGAATCCCACTAATAAACAATCAGGACTTCAGACTCCTTTAATAATGGAGAGAGATTCAAACGAAGATGTTTTGCCATCTCTGCAAATTCCTAGAGGTGTTGCCTGTTGAACAGGCCAGCAAAATTATGGATTTATTCAGGACTGATTGCATTGGGTATGTAAGCATTTTTGAAGGATTAAAAGAGAACAAGTGAGAGATGTTTGTGAGCTGAATGAAGAGGGGAGGTGCAGCCTCCTTGCTATCCAGTCTGGCATGGAGCAAGGCTGCACTGGGGGAAGGGGACAGACTTACTGCACGGATGAGCAAGGACTCGGACCTCATCCACCGCGATGTAGCCAGGATGACCCTTCAAAGAGACGGATTCAAAAATCACCTGCAACACACAGGGCAGGAGTCAATTTTGCAGAAGCTGTTTTAAGCATTCGTTTTAGGTGAGTACCCAGCCCTTAGTTCCTTTATGTTTCAACTTCTCATCAGAACCAACCAAAGAACCCCTTCGTCAGGACAGTCTGCTGCCCTGGCAGTTGACTTCATTTTTAAAAACAAAGGGAAAAGACCACACTCTGGTGACTAGTGACAGAAGTCAGCCACATGGAACATTTTTAATGGATTTCAGAAATAACACTTACATGTGGGAAAAGCAACCTGAAGCTGGACCAAGGACCCCAATTTGCACCGTTTTCATTGTGATTTTATTTGAGGCACAGGGCAAAATCGGTTCTGAATCTTCCAACCTGGTTCTGAAGAATGGGGAAGATGCTTACCTTGGAAACTCGCATGAGCCAAGGAGGTTCATTCTGATTTAATTCTACATTCCCAAGTTACATACTCATTGAGTTTCTTAATAGCACGTCTTAAATAAGAAACCACCTACCTGTTGGTATCCAGGGACAGCGGGCCATAAGTTCTTTCAATTCTTCACTGTGACTCTAACCTCGCTTCTTATTAAAAACTTCATAATTCAGTTAACAGTTTCTCTCTCACACAAGCTTTATGTTCCTGTAGGGTATATGAATAGCTTCAAGGGTAACACCCTTGAACTCCCTAATTACAGGTGCCTTTACCTCCATCCCATTGCAACTGCAACCTCCACCTTACCTTTTCCCACTATAAAACTTGGAAATTCCCTTTTTCTATATTTTGATATAATTTTGTACTCCACAGTGCATTCCCAACTCACTTCTCTTTAACCTGCTTTTTGGGCTTGCATGCTATCTGGAGCTTTGCTCTTTCAGGGTATATCCACACACCTGGGTCTTCTGCTCACTCCACAAGTCCATGTTCCCCCTACCATGTTAGCTAACACGCATACAATTCTCTACATAAGCCCCGATGCCTTTACATCTTGAATCCAACACTGCTGAGCCTACTGCAAATCTGTCTTCTCCATTACTGTACCCCCATACAAATGTCCCCTTTCAAAATCCACCCATCCAGTTCTAGCAGACAGCACATCTTCAAGAGGCAAGAGAACAACAGAGGGGCTGATTTCTAAAGTGCGCTTTACCCACCTAATCTTTTCTTATCCCAACAGCAACCTCTTCTCTGCAGGAAATGCCAGTGCTCTTGACTCTGATGCCACACTGCATTTTCTGGTTTTTTGGTTCTCTCAATTTTCTCTCTTTATCCTGTATCTTCAAACCATCTCTTTCATCCTTGACCTTGACATATGTAAACACTTGGACTTCTTTTCTTGAACAACATCCATTTGTAATAAGCTTTCCTCTATTACTGACAGGTATGTTTCAATGACCCTACAAATTCTCAATAATTAAATAACAACTTCCAACATTTCTTTACTCTGTCTTTCAAACCTCAGCCTGCCAAATAATTTGGATTTTGTTTCCAACATACCCTCCAAAACTCAGTTCCATGATAGACACCAGCAATACTCTAATTTCTGAGTCCAGTGAATATGTTTTTCAGACTTTATCTTGCTTTGAGATGGAAGACAATATAGTGCTTGAGCAAAGGATCAAAATGCCTGGATTAGAGTCTTGGCTGTGCCACTGACTGGTGTGTGACCTCGGGCAAGATACTTTACTGCTCTGTGACTCAGGTTCCAGCTATAATTACAGCATCTACTTCATTGCATAGTTCTTTGTATTAAAGGAGTTAATGCCCTACTTAAGACAACAGAATTTTCTCAACAAATGTCTTCTCTAATTATTACTATTTAACTACTCTTCTACAATTGTCAGTGTTCATTACTTCTTCTCTTCTGGATCTCCCTCTTATTTGAGCTCAGAGGATGTTTCACTGTCATGGTTTTTCTCATAAATCTGAAACTGTTCTACCACCAGTCCATAGACCACTTTTGCTTTATCACTGTTTCGTTTCTCCTTGACAATAGTTAATAGTAGCATTTGTTAAATCTGCCCCATCTTTCCACCCCTTCTATTAGGATGGACCTTCCATAGCTGCCATTAGTAGGTCAAAACCAACCAGACATCAGTCTCATTGTTCTGGCTCAACCTACCTTCAGTTTTTTTCTCTATGACCTTGACAACCTTCAAAACAGATCCTTTCCCTCATTCTTTTTCTCCTCAGTTTAAGTCAAGACCGTAGATGAATGGCAAGATGTGTGATGAAATCATCGGGAAGACCTCCCTGTGGAATCTTTTTGTGGCTTATGTGGTCCAGATCTGTGGATTCAAAGCTCAGTGATCTCAGTGGGACCTGGAGCTCTAATAGGTATAACAAATGAGTAGGAAACTGTTGGAGACAGCGGAAATGGCTGTGAAGAGGCAGCTTCCGTGGTGGTAGAAGATCTATCAGTAAAGTAACATGAGGGTTCCTGGAAATTATGTGAAGTGATTGGGCATGACAATCACACAGAACAAGGCAGCTGCTTTTGCACTGTGGCTTATTAGAACCTGAACAACTACTTCAAAGATAACGACGTGCAATATATTAACTAGTGTTAATGTCCTGCTTGTTTTTTGAAATTCTGTATCATTTCTATCCTTTTTTCTGCTTTTATTTTTTAAAAGAATAAGACATCAGGGTCCTTCAGAAAGAATTAACAGACAGAAGTGTGCAGGAGATAGGAAAGCTTGCAAAAATATAATTCTGGTAACTGCCTTATCCTTCAAAAAGGGAAGTCAATAGAAGGCTTTTCTATAAAGAACTACATGTCTAGATATATTTTTTAATAACTCAAAGAAAACCAAAATCAAAATCCTTAGGGAAAAATAAAGAAAACTAGAACATAAAAAAAATCAATACATTTAAAAATAAATAGCATGAACAGATTCAAACTGTGTAATAAAAAATGACAAAAGAAAAAAATAATTCTATTTTGACAATAAATATAAATGAGTTAAAAAAGAGACAATCTCCAAAACTGTCTAAATAACCAAAGTCTAATTTCATGCTGTAACATAAACACCTAAAACAGAATGGCTTAGTAACCCAATCAAACAGAAAAGGCAAAGATGCCATGTATAGTTATAAATAAATATATATTATATGAATATAGTACAACATGTTATATTACTAATGCATAATATGTGGTGAAAAATACATGTAATGTAAGGAATAATGTATCAGAGGAAGTGAAATTTCTATTCAAATGCTCAAGGATTTATGAAAAGATCATAGCACCCCTGTAATCTCAGCATTTGGGAGCAGCAGGAGGATCTCCATGAGTTCAAGGACAGCCTGGGATACATAATAAGTTCAAGGGCGTACATAGTGAAACCCTGAACTACCTAGCAAGATCCTGTTTCAACACACCAAAGAGAACAAAAGAAAAGAAGAGATCATAAACTAGACCACAGTATAACTTCAACAAATCTCTCAAAGAAGAAGATTATACAGGTTTGGCGCTATACACTTTCTAATCAAATTTACTCAAACTAGAAAGTAATTACAAAGTCTTAAAAACCAATTTCTTAAAATTATACAATACCTTCTTAATAACTATGATGTCAAAGTATGCTTTGTATCTTAACAAAAATCTAAAATAAAATTGAAAGTCAATGACAAGCTAGGAACAATGCTTCCAACACATATCCCTGCTAACAGGAATGTATCATTTTTTGTGTGCAAAAGACTACTGAGAATCAAAAAAAAAAAAATAACCCTACAACAGAAAAACTGAAAAAATGATTTTAGCAGGTAATTCACAAAAGATAAAGTGGAATGGGAGTTATCTATGAATGCAAAATTTTTAAATGGCACAGGGAAGACTCAGAAAGTGCCCCAGAAGATACCAGCAGCTTAGGTAGAGATGATTGCCCCATCACTGTGCAATGGTGTGGGTATTTGAACCACAGAACTCCCCTACCCATGATCTGGCCAGCTCTAGCTCCTAAGGACAGATACCACAAAGACATGAGAGGATGGTAGGACCCTCTGAGATGCAAACACCTGGCTGGGAGTTTTGAAGACAGACAGATGTTGATCTTGGCCAACCACACCTCTAGGGAAACTCAAACCAAGGTCTCTGAGGACTGAAATTCAGGACCAGGGAGAGAAGGCACAAGGGAGTAAGCAGGGAAGCCTAGAGGCTACTCTAATGTTGCTATCCCCAGAGGAAAGGTACACGCCAGTGACACTTACAATGGTACATGGAAGGAGAGATCCTGCACATAGGTACCAGATTAGAAGACCTCAGCTGGGAATCTTTACTTCTCTGAAAAACATTCTTCAACCCCAAGGCTCTCATGTAGACTTAACTGTCAGCTGCACATGGACCAGCTCTGAAATCTCCTAGGAAACCTCCTGATGCAGGTGCCGGAGAAACAGACTTGCACATAAAGGTGCAAAACTCTCTCCCTGTGAATGAGGAATTGGGAAAAGCCAGTAAAAATTTCCCAAAAGGATCTCAAAGATGTTCACATAGCACCGCAAAAAGATGGGTTGTGTGCATCATGGTAGGAAGGTGTGGGCACACCGGGCTATGATTTAAGGGCTCCAGTGTTTTATCCTCTTGCATTTCTTAAACAGAGAACACATACAACAAAAACTTCAAAGGACTGAAAATATTCTCTTGAGACAAAAATATTGCCTTAACAGAACTCTTAGGGAAAAGACCACATAAATTTTCATGGGAAAAAATGACTTACAGCCAAATTAAGAGACATTCTTTCCCACACCAGCCCAAGGAGGCCTGTACAAGATGCTGACGAGGACTTGGTGTTCAGAGGACTGAGCGGAAGGAATGGGAGAGGAGATGGGTGGGGTTCCGAGAGCAGGAGGGTAAGCTCTCACTCGGATAAACCCTGCTGAATTGCCAGTGACATTACTAAACCCCCGAGCGCCGGATGCCAGGGAATTCCTGAGAAAGGGACTGAGTTTCAAATTCAGCTAAATCAAAATTAAAGGAGTCCTTCATTTCAGGGATCTGCCTAGCAACAAGGACTGAAT